TGAATTAGGACCCATCAAGGAAATTTCATAATTTTTGGAACCCTCTCCAGTGAGAGACTCGAGATCGAGAAAACACGCGTTAACCATGTAAGTAACCATTTGGATTCCAACGAGTAGTACTTGTAGGAACTGCTTGGATTAAGCATGCATGCTGTAAAATTGATAAACCTAGCTTGCTAGACCTAACATATTAGCATGTAAGCCATGCAAATAAATTAATTAAGAAAATCAATAGGATCTAGATATGATCGACTCTAAAATCATTTTAGAGTGACAATGCGATATTGAATGTATGCATGATAAAGGATGTAGGAAAATATGTGAAATCTGCGCTCCGGATGAAGATGAACGTTATCTTCCCATTGAGCATGTTTGTATTATTGCATGAACGATTGCATGTGAACTCAAATGCATGATATGGTACGTTAAGACTATATATGAAATTTGGTGGTCATTGGATAAGATTAAGTAGGTAAACCAAGAAATGATGTAAAATGACGATAATACCCATAAGTTAATTTAGCTTCGGTTCATGAACTAGATAACCTCCAAATATTATGAAACTCTGTCAATTGGAACGCATGAAACCTTGGATAAAGGTTGCCAGGTTCATGACTAGTGCCATAAATCTTAGGGGAGTGTCTTGGAGAACGAACCTGAGAATGTTTGCTAAACCACCACAAGTGAATGGTGTGTGAAAGTTCCCTATGTATAATCAAATAAATTGCAAGGATATGGAAATAGAATAAATGGAAATAACAATATATGAAAAGATACCTATGTTAAGGAGACATTTGCTTATAATAAAATATCAAATATGATATACAAGGTAAACTATAATTTAGTACTATATATCATTAAAAGAGCAAAACAAGAACCTAGAAATTACCAAGAGCAAGACAAAGATCAATGACTAGAACATGGATCAAGATCTAAGTTCTAAGACCAAGAACCAAGACCTAAGAACCGGCCGTTGGATTAGAACTAAAGTTTAAGGATCCAAGGACCAAGGTTCTCAGAATAGATCGTGATAAGAACATACAAGTCAAGGATAAGAACTAAAGAGCATAAGTACTTACAACAAGAACAAGAAAAAGAAAAGAAAGAGTGTGATACTCTAGCATATCAAGGACACGATTAAGAACCTACAAGTAGGCTACTTACTGAGTCTTTGTACTCATTCCTTATTTTTCAGGTAATAAGGAGCTTTTCGAGGTCGGGAGCGGACTCTGGAGTAGGTGCCGTAGACAAGTTTCACCCGTCGTCCTCAATCTTTTTATTTTAAAATGTTTTGTGTCCATTCCGTATTTTGTGTCTTAAATGTTGGGTTGTGTTTTAAAAACTCATGTATGAACTTTATTTTGATATAATGTATATTATGTTTTAAATTTTCTTGTTTTATTTCGCTAAAAATTTTCCTGTCTTTAATGAAGTCATCGAGTTAGCCAGGTCCTTACAACTTGTATCTTTCCCAAAAAAAAAAAAAAAGTTTATATATATATATATCATGTTTTATTTTTATTATCATCCATATACATTTTAGCTCGACAAGTACAAAAGAATTGACCTCCAATCTCAAAATAGAAAAACAATAAGGGTTTTCTCGTGTCTAGTTCAACAATTGTGTTGAAATCAACCCAATGAAACTCAACATCCTTGGACATTGGGTTTAAATCAACCCAATGAAACTCGACATCATTTCCAAGTGTACTCTAATAGATATGATTCTTTAGAACCAAGAAGTAAGAAAATGTCATTGTCTCCTGCTGCCCGAGTACAAATACTATTATAACATTGATCACTAAACCAATTTTCCATTTCTGGCCAAAATAATTCACCACAAGCATGTCCGTGTTTGCTGCTAAAATTGCACCAAAATCGTGTTGATTGCCAAAAATTATCTTTAAAGGTCCAAAAGTATTTCGCTCCAAGTTCGATTTCATGTTCGCCTAAATCGTTGTCTTTAGACTTGCAGTAAGCCAAGAGAATTGAATCCTTTATATGATTCCAAATTGCAACTTCCCACGGGGAGAATGAGAGTTGTATCTTTGAGTTGGATTGTGCAAAACATGAGCTAATAATCATGTTTGATTTAAAAGCAAACAATATGATGAGAACCGAATATGTTTATGTTTGAGGCTTTATTATTATTATTATTATTTATTTTATTTTTTTTTGGGAGTTTAAGTTGGTAACTTTTTCTTTGTTAACAAAGCCATTGTTTTGTTTCTTTTATATACAGTCAAATAAAATTGGTATACAACAGACTCACTACTTTTCTAACCTTATTTATCTAAATATATACCATCCATGTAATAATTAATAGGGTGCATTATATATAGCAAGTTATTACATCCCGGTTCAAATATGTTATATTTGGACGAGAGTTTGAATCCAACAAAACCTACCCTATAATGCATATCCTAATCCTATCGTATTTTTAATCTTGTCATAACCTTATTGTCCTTATACATCTCATAGTCGTATCATTTCATGGACATACCTTAGTCATATTGTTCTCCGAACGTACCCTAACCATATAGTTTTATAAATCTATTATAATCATATCATTTTCTATACATAACCTATACAAATCGTTTTTTCAATCTATTATAACCATATCATTTTCTATACATAACCTAACCGTGTCGTTATATTAATATCTTAGTCATATCATTACATTACGTTCATCGCATCATTCTCGTATCCTACTCAAACATATCATGATGTAAGAGTTCTCATATCATTCACATATTATAACATATACATGTCATATCGATTCATAAACAATCACACATATCAAATATATGACGTGCATAACCACGAGGCACGTGTCAGCATCAAATATAACCATGTCAATAATAACGTCATTTACTTGGTTGGCCTTGGCCGACGTTCTATTCTATTTTTAAGATTAGCTTAACTTGTCATTTGAAGCTTGTAACGATGTGACAAAATTGATTCATGTTGTAATTGTAAGAGAAAGATTTTCATTTTTTATGATGGGAGATCTTGTGGTGTTAGGACAAATGTGGAGATAATGTAATGAGAATTGGAAGAAAGGGAGGGAGCAAGGGGGGAGTTGGTTGAGGGATGAGGGGAAAGTGGGCATGTGAGACGTTGGAGGAGGGATGAGATTAGTTGATTTGTTTAATTATTATTTTTTAGCATGATCTAACATAAATTTTATGTGGATACATTCTTTAAAATAATTAATAAAATAATATTATGAACTTATCTGTTTGCATTAAGAGTCTTAAAACCAAAACAACGAAAAATATTCAATGTGAAATATAAGTAAAACCAAAGAAAAAATTAAAACGATGCCCTAATCTAACCTAATATCTAAGAAGTGAAAATGCAACTACACTAACACAGGTTCTATGATCGTTAACCACACATGGATGTCTTGCCGTTACCTCAAATTTAAGAATAACACAAGACCTCAATATTTTAAGAAATATTCATTAAGTGATCCCACAATTGGTGTTGGTGAATGCAAACACATGCATAACGATGAGACCTATCATTTTAAATCGTATTCTCTAAACCTACTCTCCAAACTTGGCAAATTGGATATATGGTACTTCGCTGCACACTACCCACATGTGCGAGCATGGGCCCACCAGGCAGGCTCGCGCACCCTCTGGACCGACTGGTAGGGCTAGCTACTCTGTACTATTGTCGAACACCCAGAGGGAATAGCGATCATCGTTGAACTATGTTAAGCATGATAATCATTTTTGTCTCATAGTGTACGCGTCCGTACTCGTCATTTTTGTCTCATAGGGAATAGCGATGCACGTGAACATACAAATATGCATGAGGTTCCCTTATTTTTCTTCGTGGCGTAAAAAATCATGCAGGACAACCCTAATTCTCTCATCACATATCACACTCCCTAATGTAACGTCCTAAATATTCTCGCTTAAATTAGAAGCATCACCACATGAATTCCATAAATAATATAGGTGGTAGTTTGAAATACAATATTTGCAAATGAAGTCATGAACTTACACGTTTAATTTAAGACAAGAAAATAGAAAGAACATATCTCAAACATATCGTCAAACACATGGTACCATAACATATATTATATCATTCACATGGCACATCTCAAACATATCGTCAAACGCATCACATCATTTCATAAACATTTCACACATATCAAGCATATGACACGTGCAGAACTATGGGGCATGTGTCATCATACAACATAAATTTCTAACCATGCGGATAGTACAACCACCTACCTGATTAGCTTAGATTGGTGTCACCAATTTATCCTTAATAAAAGTTCGATTTTGTACTTTGTATCCAAGTCAACTATGTGAACCCATGACAACAATTTCAAGTTCAATTCTCTGCATCGTACAATGGTCCCTGTGTTAGACTTCATGCAAGTAGAGTATTAGAATATTAGAATATTATAAAATCCTAACGATTAATCTCGACCGTAGAGACTATTTTGTAGAGTTTTATTAAACTACATACTAATTATAATACTTAAATTAGTGAGTAAAGTAATTATGAAGTTAAATAAATATTTTTATATATAATTGTACCCTAAGTAAAACTGTACAGTTTGAAGTTAACAATCGGTTCATTTAACCAAATCTAGTTTTAGGAGAATAGTTTTAAAATTTAGCTTTAATTGGAATATAATTTCGATTATGATGGGACGACATTAAATCAGAAAAATCCTTGAGGATCCAATTGAGAATGATTTGGAGTTAAAGAAGTGTCGTATAAGCCCTTTGAGCAGTTGAGATGATTAAATTTAGAAACCACAGCTTGATACCACAAATGTGACTGCCAAATTAACCAACACATGTCAATTTCCTCTCATATTCAAACCACTGTGTGTACCGGCTGTAACCGGTCGTCTCTGCTTCCTTTATAAACCCCCTTTTCCTTTCTTATTCTCCCGTCTTGTCTTAAGTTAATTGATCCTCTTGATTAGTTTCTTTTTTGGTTGACTGTTTCTGTGTAAATTCATAATGAGTCAACCAAACGGTGACGCCGGTGGTGGAGAAGGGATCAAAAGAAGATCTTGTGGTTGTTCGAAGCAAAATTTTCTACCCGAGGAGTCGTTTAAGAGTTGGGGAAATTACACTAAAGCGTTGAAGGCGACGCCGACCCGGCTCTTGGATCGGCTCACGGCCAGGTCCGGGGAGCACATTGAGCTCATCGAGATGAAGGCTCGCAGCCAACACGAGATGAAGAAGAGCCTCACATGGTGGGACCTTATGTGGTTCGGTATCGGCGCTGTCATCGGCGCCGGAATATTCGTCCTCACCGGTCTTGAGACTAAGAAACACGCCGGCCCAGCTGTCGTCTTGTCTTATGTCATCTCCGGTGTCTCCGCCATGCTTTCCGTTTTCTGTTACACTGAATTTGCCGTGGAGATCCCAACAGCTGGTACGTGCCCTTTTATATTTGGTCTCTGTTTTTCTTTAAAATATTATTTATTTTTTAAATTAATTTTTTTTCTCTCTTCTTTAATGAAGTGGATATTATTTTTGTGGTAGAGATGGGTCTCATTTTTGTGGTAGAAATAACGGCGTGAAGTGATATTGTATTGAAATTTTTATTATGAGATCTTAATGGGTTGAAACAAAATTTAGATTTTGAATTCAAGAAGTATAAAATATCTATAAATATAAAGGGTAAAAATATTTTGAATTCAACCCTACTTTTACAATAATCCAAATTTAAAATTATTCTACATTCCCTTTTAGATTTTCTAAATTAGTAACTTCACTAGCCCATTGTAATTATTTGTTCAGGTGGATCATTCGCCTACCTAAGAGTAGAACTAGGAGACTTCGTGGCATTCATAGCAGCGGGCAACATCCTCCTCGAATATATAATTGGCAACGCTGCTGTGGCCCGTTCATGGACTTCATACTTTGCCACTTTGTGCAATCACCATCCGAACGATTTTCGCATCCACGTTTCGTCTTTCCCCGACTCCTACAACCAGCTCGACCCCATCGCCATCATTGTGATCATCTTCATTTGCACCTTGGCTGTAGCCAGCACCAAAGGCTCCTCCCGCTTCAACTACATTGCTTCCATTTTCCACGTTGCCATCATCCTCTTCATTGTCATTGCCGGCCTCACCAAGGCCAACCCGAAAAACTTCACTCCCTTTGCCCCCTATGGCCCTCGTGGCATATTCGTAACCTCTGCCGTTTTGTTCTTTGCATTCGTTGGATTCGATGCCGTTTCGACAATGGCTGAGGAAACTAAGAACCCTGCTAAAGATATACCTATTGGTCTTGTTGGATCAATGGTGATCACCACATTAGCCTATTGCATTCTTGCAGTTACCTTGTGCTTGATGCAACCATACCAACAAATTGACGAGGATGCGCCGTTTTCAGTGGCTTTTGAGGCTGTTGGATGGGGTTGGGCTAAGTACATTGTGGCTGCTGGTGCTATTAAAGGCATTACCACCGTGTTGTTGGTTAATGCTGTTGGACAGGCACGCTATCTCACCCACATTGCTAGAACCCACATGATCTCACCATGGTTCGCCAAAGTGCATGAAAGGACTGGCACTCCAGTGAATGCAACAGCCACAATGCTCGCTGCAACAGCAATAATCGCCTTCTTTACAAGCTTGGGAATCCTCTCGAACCTCCTCTCTATCTCCACCCTCTTCATCTTCATGCTGGTAGCCATCGGCCTGATCGTCCGACGCTACTACGTAGGCGGTGAAACGACACCATCCGACCGAAACAAGCTCATAATTTGTCTGGTTCTAATCGTGGGATCTTCAATAGCAACTGCCGTGTACTGGGGCTCAAGCGACGGCTGGATCGGCTTGGTGCTGTCCAATTCCGTATGGTTTCTCTCAACTCTGGCCCTATGGCTCGGTGTCCCACAGGCCAAAAAGCCTCGCGTGTGGGGCGTGCCGCTCGTCCCATGGCTGCCTTCACTGTCGATCGCTATCAACCTTTTCCTTCTTGGCTCCATCGACAAAGCCTCATTTGAAAGGTTTGGAATCTGGACTGGGATTCTGTTGATTTACTATATCTTGATTGGATTACATGCTTCTTATGACTCGGTCATGGAGTCCAAGACTACAGCAAGAGAAGTTAATAGCAGTTTGTGAATGGATCTTTCGAATTTATAATGATTGGCTTAGTGCTTTGATTAGGGGATTTGTGGTTTATGTTTGTCATTGTGTTAGCTACCATTCATGTTGGCAAGGATGGTGGTTTGATTGTATATGTTTGAGCTCTCTCTCTACTTTGTCTGTACATGTAAAAAATTATAGCTAAACAAAACGCTATAATATGTTTTTTATAATATTTTTTTTTAAGATCTTGATGGTTGACGTTATTACAAGTTCAAGACTTTTTATTATTATTTTTGTGTAATTATAATAGATGCTATAAAAAATACAAAAAATTGCGAAAGTAAAGTATTGAATAATTTAAGAGAGAAGTTATTCAATTGATACGAGATAAATGGTTCACCTTATATAATTATCAACAACATTAATTAATTAGAAAAAATACAAAAATTCACAAGGGTTCAAGATGGTAGTAACATGTAGTTGAACTAGCCCTTTTTATTTTTTTATTTTTGTGTACGTTACTATTACGTTCACCTACATTGTAATGTTTGAGCCTGGTAGGTATGTAAGTTTCCCTAATTTTTGTGTACGTTACCATTTCATTCACTTACACTCTTCATTTAATGCTACTACGCTCTTCATTTTGTGTTCGAGCCTGCTTCTTTTGTCGAGCATTTTCCTCCTTTCTCTATTATGTATTAGCCGAGTGATTGTTAATGTGTTCTTTAATTTCACCTCTTTTGTAGGGTATTTCTTTCTCACTTCTCAGTTTTATTGCTTGAAATTGTTCCTTGCCCTCTCTTTTTGGCGTTTTGATGTCTGCTTGCTACTTTCCAAGATGTCTATTTCGTAACTCAGTTGCTAATTGACTCAATTGAACTTCCTTCATTACGCTCTCAAAAGATGTTCCCAACATGTGTCTTGCTTGGCTAAGTCTAAGAAAATAAATGGGGCTACTCTATGCATGTGTCATGGTCTCGAGTTGTGATGTCGTCGTCAGCCGTTCAGGGATGCCTTGCATTTACCTGAAATAGAAGTAGCACGTGGTGGCTTGAGCATTTTTAGAAATACTCAGTAAGTGACCCCACTATTGGGGTTAAATGATAACACATACAATTTCATGAAAGAGACCTATCATAACAGTCTATTTTCCTGCGACGGTCATCATAACGGGCAATTGGGATGTGTACTTAATTTTTCTACACACGGTTCACAAGTGCGAGTATTGACCCACCAGTCAGTTCGCACGCCTCCTAGGCCCCCTTTTTGATGGGGCGAGAATTCTCTAGTAGTTATTGATGTTAGACATCCGTTACAAATAGCGATCATCACGACAGCATTATGTTAACATAATGATCGTTCTCCTGTCTCGTAGCGTATGCGTCTGTACTATTGAGAAGGATAAGGGGTATCCCCCAATGCATGAGCACACAATAATGTATAAGGTCCCAACGTTTCTCAATTTTCATTATCATTTAATACAATCTCGCTAGCGTCTTCCTTCATAACATATCTTTCATGTGTATGTCGGGGTTGTATCTCATGCTCGTTAATCGGTTTGTCTGTCAATCATAACATATCAATCATATTACATCTCTAGAGAATTCTCGAAACTTTTTCTCCAATCTCTTTGGGATTTTCTTTCAAATAAATTGAACCTTTTAGCGTTACTAGGAGCTAGCGAGGGAACCTTATGGACCTACCGATTATAAGCTCCAATGATACAAAATTAATTAATTAAACTCTTTAATTAATCAATTTCCATTCATTAACTATAGGTCACTCCACTATAGACCTAGAGTTGCACTCTTATGCACTGTAGAACAAGTTATGTCCATCGATATAATCATTACAAGCAAGTCGATCCTTTACGAGTTGTTCATAATTACAGCTGGGTCAAAAGTCCGTTTTACCCCTATAATTACATCTTTCACCTTAAGTACCACTGATTCTCTAATGAACAATTTGTCTATGATCCAATCATAAACCAAGTCCCTCTCAGGCCAATGAGAGGGTGGGGCCCCATTGTTCAAGTCTCGAAATTAGTACTTAAGAAAACAACTCATCTACTTTCCTTGTATGGAACTTGTATGGAAAGGAGTGAATTTCATCTCATGATATTATGTTCCCAACTCCCTATTTGGTCAATTCTCCTAAATAGTAGGCATATTGAATCGGCTAAAATAGCCATTCTCGCCCATGTAAAGTAAAGGACAAGCCCTCACAGGTAAGAGTTCGTAACTCACTCAGGATTAAGATCGAGTCGCATATGATCAACATGTGAAATATTAATCTTCTCAATTAATGGATTTATAAAGAGAGATTAAATATTTCTTGGTCAAGTCTCATACAAACTCATTGTATAGGATACCCCCACTTACATGTCCTCACTTGAATGATTTGGATCAAATCATTTGTAACGATTACAAAGTGGGCCGTATCAATAGTGTTACTAGAATAAGGCACCCAACCTTATCCATATACTATAGACTCTTTAGGTTATTACTTGAACACGATCGTCTTGTATGTCAACCACATACTGTTCAAGATTACATTAATAACCTTGGATTTTCATATAATGGGTAACAATTAAATCACAAATAAAATAATATAAATTATTGTTAAAAAACTAAATAATTAATTACGAGGCTTTAGGGCATAAATCCCAACAATCATAACATTTCCATATTTCCAGACATAGCAATTCGAATCGTATACATATCATACCATAACATATCGTATCACAATATTTCATAGCATAAACATATCAATTTTTCACATATATCGTACCATAACATATATCATATCATTTTCGTATTGTATCACAACGTTTCATACTCATATCGTTTCCATATGCGTATCCCTGTCATATCGTTTTGTTAATCTTGTCATAGCCTTATCGTCCTTATACATCTCATAGTCGTATCATTTCATGGACATACCTTAGTCATATTATGGTCAGCATGATAATCATTTTCGTCTCATAGTGTACGCGTCCATACTTCATCATAAAGGGGAAGTATCCCGGTGCACGTGAACATACAAATATGCATGAGGTCTCCATATTTTTTTTTTTCGTGGCGTAATAAAACATGCAGAACAACCCTCATTCTTTGATCACATATCACACTCAATGTAACACCCCTAATATTCTTGCTTAAATTAGAGGCATCATCACATGAATGCCATAAATAACATATGTGGAAGTTTGAAATAAAATATTTGCAAATGAAGCCATGGACTTACAAGTTGAATTTAAAACAAGAAAATAGAACTAACATAGTCTTTGAACATGAAATATGAAATAATCATCCTACCAACTACTAAATGAAAATCAATGCATACTACTTCTCTATCATGATTTCTTCCATGGTCATTTTAGAATTCATGTCGTCTATGGAGGGGCGTTTTACCCTTACGTGAAAAATAAGGGTAGCATGTGGCTTGAATATTTTAAGAAATACTAAATAAGTTACTCCATTGTTGGGATTAGTAATGCAATACACACATTTAAGGATGGGAAATATCCTTAAAAATCGTGATTTGACCTTGGACTCCTTCCAATTCCAGACATGGTGGGATGCGTAAAGTGCAAATTCTGGGCCCAAGGCTCAATACATTAAAATAAACCCTAGGCTCAAGCCCAATACATTAAAAAATAAATCCTAGGTATCAGCCTACATAAAGCCACCAAATCAGCCACCCATGTAATAGAGCACGAAGCCTGGGACGAGCGAGCCACTCACAAAACCCTAGCCGCTGCCTTGTTCTGCCTCTTTATCATCATCTTCTTCTTCTTTAAATCTTGTTGCCGTCCATCGCTCGCGCTGTCCTGCCTCACCATCGCCCACGCCGTCCCGTGCCGTCACCGCACGTCGGACGACCATCGCCAGTCGCCGTCGCGCATCAAATTGTCGTCGTTATCACGAATTGAACAATGTTGTCATCGCCAGAACCACTATTTGGAGGAGTAAACGTAACCAAGGTACAATGAGCCAACCAAATTTACAATGTGGTTTCTTTTTTGAATAGTTTGGATTTGACCCAACCTCTACGTAGGAAGAAGGTAAGCAATAAAACCCTATGATTTGTAGGAGTCGTTGTATCACGCCAAGTTGGGTTGGTTAAACTTGGGTGTTTAAATGTAGGCTCGATCTAAGTCGAAGTTGGACCAATATCTATAGGGACAATTGGAAAAGAAGCTCTCCAAGTAAGAGGTCTTCCTATTGAAACTTGACTGTTTTATTTTTCTACAAGGGTTGAATATGTTTTGTATTGTATGGTTGAGTGTTGTGTGATACGATGTATGTTGACTATAAAAATAAATGTTTGGAGACCTATTGCATGCATAATTATGTTTGATGATTGGGAATATCTCTGATGTGAGTAGTGTGACATAATGTCTGGTTGCTCATGAAAATATACAATTTTGGGACGTAATGCATGCATGTTACCTTTGATGGTAATCAGCCACCAATAGTCACTCTACGAGGTGATTTAAGAAAATGGTTATCAAGGTAAGGGTGAGGTGATTTAAGAAAATGGTTATCAAGGTAAGGGTTACACGCTATGTGTTTCGGGTAACCAACCATTGATAATCATTTTAAGGAGTTAGGATGGATGTTGATTTTCATGTGGTAAGTTTACACGCTGTGTCTATCAGATAACCAGGCACTAATGGTCACTCTACGGGGTGATTGCAGTGAATGATTTACAAGGCAAGGGTTACATGCTATGTGATTCGGGTAACCAGCCATTGATAGTCATTTGAAGGAGTAAAGGTAGATGTTGATTTTCATGTGGTAAAAATTACGCGTTGTGAGTTTTGGTAATTAACCACTAAGATCCCTCAATTTTGTTTGATTGACATGTGATGGTTTATGTGTTTGATATCAAGTGGGGACACTTACTGAGCATTTCTTAAAATACTAAAGTCGTGTGCTACATTTATTTACATATATTTTAGATAAAGGCAAGACGCCTCTATACGGTTGATGATGACATTGCAATTAAAGACCGTGGCACATGCATAGGATATTGGTATTTCATTTAGGTTAGTATAAATCTAGGGTCATTACAGAGAAAGTGTCATTGCATAGGATGACGATGAATGTTAGAATGGCCATGGAAGTCAAGATACGATAGTAGTATGCGTTGATTTCATTTGGAAGTTGATAGGTGACTTTTCATTTTTTTTATTCAAATACTATGTTATTTTTTGTAACACTTGAACTTAGGAGGTATCAACAACCTTTGTTTTCCTACTTAAGATCCAAATATATGCATGATAATTAGGTCGTGATTTTTTATTGTAGGCTGAAGAGACCGAGGCTCGAGTCGACGAAGAAGAAAACTATGCTCGAGATGGTTGTAAGATTAAAAAAAACTGACAAGATCAACATAGGGACAAGGTCATTTTGCCCCTACTCCTACATGAGGAGTTTGGATAGTTGAGTCACAACAAGAAAGCAAAAGAAACGAGAGGAAAAGAAGAAGAGATAAGAAGAAGGTAGGATTTTGAAAGAAAAGTAGAATAGAGTAATCTGCTGCCTCAAATCCACCATTGGAGATCGAATCCAAGGCAAGAAACTTCGAATCAAGACTCCTCTTAATGCTGGAGGAGGAGTTTGGGTGGTGGATTCGCCCATTCCGGCCAGAAAATCAGAGAATGGACAAGGTAAGACTATGGCCTTTTTCGTTTCGATTTTGTCTGGATCTAAGGAGTTTCTTGAATGATGGATCTAGAGTTTTGAGGTGTGTAATTAAAAGAGGATTCACACAGGCTTCTTGAAGGAATCCCGAACCAAAATTAGAGCTTAATCGGAGTTCGAGTGAAATGGACAAGAATAGAAAACGTGAGTTTTTCCGTATCTTTGAATGTATTCAATTCATTCTATGTTCAAGAAAAATACGTCGATGTAGGTGAATAAAAAATCTCTGACGTTGGTGAAGAAACTGAGTCGATCCTAAAAAATTGAAAACACACCTGAGAGAGAAAATTGCTGCCACACGTCGCCTAATTTACAAAGCAGCGCGGCGGAGCAGGTGACACGTGGCAACATTTTGCTAGAGAAATGCATTCAGCCTACCTGTTGAGACGCGACAACACGCTCGAATTCGGGTCAAACCGAAATCAAAATGCTCACGTGAATCAAACAGCGTCTGGAACCACCAAACTGACCCGCAACCGATTTCACGACCCACAGTCCAACCTAACGATCTCGCCACTCCCTGTGCACCATGTGTGACGCCCAAAAAATTTGAAGGGTAAGTTTGCGTCGTTGGGGTTCGATGTGCGCCACTGCTCGCGCGATGCCCGAGCTGACCGCCTCTGTTCATTGCGCGTGGGGGGTGTCACGGTCATGCTCGGCCAAGGCATGTTGCCCATGGCCGCATGCCCATGACAAACCAAACCATTCATATCTTTTTATATTTTAGTGTTTTACTTTTGTATTTCTAGGAAGTTTGTATTTCTAGGAAGTATGACGTTTCAAAAATATCATGTCTAGGCCTGTCAGACATGAAATGCCTCAGAATGTACTATAGAATGATACGACTAGTTGTCAACTTCTCCCTACCTAAGGTTATATACTATGAGCCGTTGTTATTTCTCTCTTGCTTGCTTATATAACGTCTCTTTCCAAAATCTCTCTCTAAAAAATCTCACTATGCCCTCGTTTTCTAAAACCTTCTCTTAAAATCGAGGCCAGAGGCTCGAGCATACGTCGCTTGGCCATAGGCAACGTAAGAACGAATTTGCTTAGCTCACTTGTCGTTGGAAAGTGAGTGCCGCACAATCGCAAGTCTGCTGCCATTAAAAGTGCGATTGTGACAAGTGGTATTAGAGCTTTGTAAGCTCTGTGAAATAGCAAAGACCGAAAACATGTCGACGACAAAGTCGACACCCAAATCACAAGCCGACCGGCTTACTTTAATAGAGAAGGAAATGCTGTTTCTCAAAGAAGTCCCTGACACCCTCCGCTGTCTGGAAGTGAAGCACGGGTGAAGGAATTGAGTGAAAAAGTCGTAGTGATCGACGCAATGGGCAACCGCCTGGATGGGTTGCCAATTGCAGAACAGATGTTTCTAGTGACCTCACTCGAAGAAAAAGTTGCTCCTACGAGCAGCCCAAGACCGTCTGGTAGATCCGATAGCTCTGTCGCGCACAAGGAGGGACGTGGTGGAGAGTTCAACGTGCTACAAAATACAATGATGAGTTTGTTTAATGGATTAGCTGACGAATTCAGAGCAACGATCGATGACATCCAAGGAAAGATGTCCACCATGAGCACCCGTATCGAGGTGACCATGAAAGCCGTGGAGAACGTCTCGGCTGGGCAAACTAATACAGGATCCAACAAATTGAAGTTCTCAGACCCTAGACCTTTCAAAGGGAACCGGGATGTCAAAGAGTTGGAGAACTTCATCTTTGATGTCGAACAGTACTTCAAAGCCACACCGACTTGTACCCACGACATAAAGGTGACAGTAGTCTCGATGTATCTCACAGACGACGCAAAACTTTGGTGGCGTACGAAGGTGCAAAACATCGAGGATGGATTGTGCACCGTAGACTCGTGGGAACCTCAAGAGAGAGTTGAGGGGACCAATTCCTCCCCGAAAACGTAGACCATCTAGCAATAGAAAAACTAATAGCCCTAAAGAAAACTGAAAGCATAAGGGACTATGTCAGACAATTTTCGACCCTGATGCTAGATATTAGGGGCACATTAGAAAAGGACAAGATGTTCTTCTTTATAAATGGGTTACAACCGTGGGCCAAAACAAAAGTACACGAGAAAAAGATTCAAGACCTAGCTATCGCAATTGCCAGCGCCGAGAGACTTCGAGACTATGGGAACGAAGCAGGTTATCAAAGAAAAACAACACAGGCCCCAAAACACTGGGGGCAAAACATATAAGCTGCCAGGTCATCGAAATGGAAGCCCCAACAGGCCAAACGGAAGTAACGACAGACCAAGCGGGTGGACAGATAGACCTCCTTAGAACAACCAAGCAGGGACATCTCGAGGACCTTACACTCAAAGGAACCACCCGACGACATCTTTACAATACATATTGTGTAAAGGCCCCCACAAAGTTTCCTAATGTCCTCATCGGGCCTCTCTCACTACACTCCAAGTGTCCATTCAAGAGAGCAACGACACAAGAGTCAAGACTATGCTAGACAAGAAGAAAGATCAAGACAACCCCTAAATGGGTGCGCTCAAATTCTTGTCAGCCCTCCAACGGAAGGCCGACCCGAAGGAGATAATAGAGAAAGGGCTCATGCTTGTGGATGCGACAATAAACTCTCGACCGATCAAGTGCACCTTGATAGAATCAGGAGAGATTCACAACTTCATCACAGATCAAGAAGCACGAAGATTTGGACTCACCATAGAGAAAGACCCTCAAAAAATGAAAATTGTCAACTCCGAGGCCTTGCCTATTGTGGGAGTTTCCAAAAGAGTCCCCTTCAAATTAGGCACTTGGACAGGAGAGCTGAACCTTGTCGTAGTCCACGTAGACGACTTTCACGTGGTACTTGAGATGGAGTTCCTTCTTGAAGACAAAGTTATCCCAATGCCACTAGCGAAATGCTTGGTGATCACCGACTGTAACCCTACAGTAATACCTGCAGGCATCAAGCAGCTAGGTAATCTTAGAATGATCTCAGCTATACAATTGAAAAGAGGACTCGCACGAGAGGAACCTCCATTTATGGCTATACAGTGATGGAAGAAGTGACCACTGAAGAAACTATCCCAGACGAAATCAAGGAGGTACTAGACAGTTATGCTGACATAATGCCAGAGAGCTTACCACAAACATTACCACCTCGTCGAGGCATTGATCATGAAATTGAACTCCTTCCGGGGGTTAAACCCCCAGCAAAGAACGCATACCGAATGGCTTCCCCTGAGCTAGCCGAATTGAGGAAACAACTAGATGAGTTGTTGACAGCAGGATTCATCCACCCGGCAAAGGCACCTTACGAAGCCCTCGTACTATTTCAGAAAAAGAAGGATGGGACGTTGGGTTTATGCATAGATTATAGAGCCTTAAAAAAGGTGATGGTACGCAACAAATACCCACTACCGATAATATCTTACTTGTTCGACCAACTTCACGAGGCCAAATACTTCACGAAGTTGGACTTACGATCAGGGTACTACCAAGTATGTATCGCTGAGGGGGACGAGTCCAAGACGACGTGCGTAACAAGATATGGGACCTTCGAGTTCCTAGTAATGCCCTTTGGCTCTACAAACGCCCCAGCTACGTTTTGCACGTTAATAAACCAGGTTTTCTATGAATACTCTGATCAATTCGTCATAGTATACCTTGACGACATAGTTGTATACAGCACAACCCTAGGGGAACACAAACATGCATCAACTTCCTTGTTCATGTCATCAGTTGTGAAAAGATCGGGAGGGATAGCGATAAGATAAAAGCTATCCAAGAGTGGAAAATCCCTACTTCTGTATCCGATGTGCAATCCTTCTTAGGATTAGCAAACTACTACAGGCGGTTCGTCGAAGGGTTTTCACGACGAGCCGCCCCCTTAACGGAGCTCCTGAAGAAAGACCACCCTTGGTCGTGGTCAAATAAATGTCAAATGACCTTTGAAGATCTTAAGGCAACCATGACGAGGGATCCTGTCCTCAGGTTAGTAGATGTTACAAAGCCATTTGAAATAGAAACAGATGCGTCCGACTTTGCCCTAGGCGGTGTCCTTATTCAAGAAGGCCACCTCATCGCTTATGAAAGTCGAAAGCTCAATGATGCCGAACGGAGATACACTGTCTCCGAAAAAGAAATGCTGGCTGTAGTCCATTGCCTACGAGTTTGGAGACAGTATCTCTTGGGATCACAGTTCATAGTGAAGATGCATAATAGCGTCATCTGCCACTTCTTCGATCAACCAAAATTGACGAAAAAACAAGCCCGGTGGCAGGAGTCGTTGGCGGAATTCGACTTCAAATTCGAACACAAGGCAGGGAAGAGTAATCAAGGAGCCGATGCGCTGAGTCAGAAGAGCGAACATGCGGCCCTGTGCATGTCAGCCTATATTCAGTCAAGTAAGATCGATGGATCGATGCACGACGTCATCAAAGAACATTTACACAAGGACCCATCGGCTAAAGCTGTCGTTGAGCTAGATAAAGCCGGGAAGACACGATAGTTTTGGGTCGAGGGAGACCTTCTAATGACTAAAGGAAACAGATTATACGTTCCAAGAACGGGAGAACTGAGAAAGAAGCTCATTTATGAATGTCATGATACCTTATGGGCCGGACACCCTAACATATACATATCTCAAACATATCGTCAAACACATGGTACCATAACATATATGATATCATTCACATGGCACATCTCAAACATATCGTCAAACGCATCACATCATTTCATAAACATTTCACACATATCAAGCAT